TAATATTTGTTGCACTTACATGAAGTACTCGTTCATCATTGCCCGGAAACAAAGTCGATAAAAACATGGAGTTTCCCCACCTAGGGACGAATTGCGCTCTTACAACATGTAAGCAGTTAGGTGAGTTTGTCTGATTTCGCTTGCTTATTGCTTCGTTTTGTAAACTGCGAGTTTCACAGGCTAGCGGTGGTAGGTTTATGTGCATGTAGATCGAGTGTAATAAAAATTCTGAATGATGACTTGGCAAAAGTCTTGGAGAAGATCATTTTGATGGTAAAGATAAGCTTACGGGGTAGGTCAGATGTGTAAAATTCTGGCTTGGTTTATCGTTTCTAGATTTTCTTCCATTGAAGTGTGATGCCTGTTCCAAGTTATTTTGGTGAGTTCGTGTGAATTTTATGACTTAGGTTACAAAAATACTATCAAGGAAGTCACAGTTGGGCCGAATTATTAAGTTAACTAATAAGCTTAATTAAGCTTAATTGTTATAATGCTTAATATCGTGTATGGTCACGCCAAATAATAATAAAAATAAAATAATTTGGGCAAGGTTGAACAAGATACAGCCCTAGGTTATAGCTCTTTTAATTCAAGAAAAAATTGTCTCTTTAAAATTCCCTTTATTTAAGCAAGGAAAGGCTTTATAAACACTCACTGGCCTTAAACCACCCTGTCATTAACCAGAAAATGAGACATTTATGCATCTAAAACTTCTCACAGGTTATTTCAGTTCATAAGATGTAAGGTATTAGTATATAATGTCTTACACTTTATCTTGAAGCTCAAAGGGGCATACGCATCAGATAGAGAAGTAACACCAAATTCTTTTCCAATGAAAACTTTAACCTTTTCTCTAAAAGATTATGTCTAACAAAAATTTAAAAGAAGCGACAAATCTTACAAAAAGATGTTGGAGAATGATCGACTTTCTTGATGCAATGTCATACGAAGTTACATAATGTCGTAAAACAAGGTAAAAAGAATCGTTGTGTGTTTTGTACTGAGTTTTGAGACCTCTCCTGTTTACCAAATAAATATTAATCTATCTCCTTTAAATTGAAATGAAAAAATCTGTGTGGGGAATAAAAGCAAGGAAATTAAAAGCCCAATGTGTCTTCGGTCGAGCGTGCGTGATTTCATGTGGAAAGTCTAAGTTGTTTACAAAGCTTTGTATGGTGAAGCGGTCACTGTATATTCCGAAAAAAAATCTTTGGTATGTCAGGGGAAACTAGCTGAATGAGGCTGATCTGACTGCTGGGATACCAAGAAGGAGTCGAAATTTACAAAGGATGGACTCTCAAAGCAATCAAAGTTTATTTTCCTTTTTGTTGAGAATTGTTTTCCTCACACATGGAAAACATGCTGCGTTTTTTGAAGTGCCATTTTTCAGTGTTAACAGAAACAAAGGTTTAGTTTTTATTATTCTATTATACCAGAACTAAATGGACTTGTTAGATAAAAGGTTTGTAATACATATGTACAGTTTGTTGATAACCAAAAAATTCACTGTCTACCTTTATGCAAGAATAAATGATGACTTTTTTTAAGCTGTATGACATTATATAGTGTACAACATTATATGCCAAAACCTTATTTATCCTGAAACAGACATATACATCGTTAGTGTAGGAGCTGCTCGGAAGGTCTTTCCTGATTCGTTCTTCTGACTTAACAATGGTAATTCATTGTTTACCATTGTTTTCCATTGTTTCCAGTTTGGGTAGCAAACCAATTGGACTTCAGGCTATTCTTCATTTTTTTAACCCCATAAGATGGAGATCACCATCTCTAAGATGAATACTTTGCATGGGTCCGCAAGTTGTTTATAATAATACTTTTTCCCATAAATGGTAAAAACCATACTACCTTAGACCTTATTTTACTTCACTATAATAGGTAGCAAGTTATGAATAATTGGTTCGTTCTTTTCGCAGTAAGGAGCATATCAAATACACAGAACACAGCTGTGAAAATTCTTACAAGAAGGTACTTATGTAATGTCTTACAGTAAATTTTACATACAAACTTGGTTAACTGAGTTTGATTCTCAATTATTTTTTTTGTCTCCTAGCCTAACATTATTTTAAGTTCCTGAAATCAAGTCTGACCCATAACATAACATATTTTGCAAAACAAACTTGAAAGTAGGAAGTTGTTAATTACTGGAATTATCTTTCTTAGCTATTTAGCATTGCATCCTAATTCAAGGTGTCAGCATGGCCAAGTGGTCAGTGTGTCAGACTCACAATCCAGCAGTCCCAGGTTTGAGTACCACTCTGGCCACATGCTGGATTTGTTCATAGTTGTCTCGAGTTCAAATCCTCGGCTATGCTTTTATTAGCCAACTGGTTGCCTCTTTCCATTTTGGTTTTCTAATCTTGTTATGTTATACTTGAATCATTTGTTTCTAATGAATATTTAAGTGGTCTGGAATGCCTGTAAACTAGCTGGACAAGCTACTGTAAGTGCACTTTCTACTATAATAATAAATAAACCTTTAACCCTTCTAACTTTTTTAATGTACATATAGAACATCCCTAGCATAAGTGAAGCAGTCGTTATTTTATTACTTTTTTCTAGATGAAATGTTTAATATTTTAATATTAACAAGTTTTAAACTTTGAGAATTTTTTTTCCTATCGTGGAGTTATTATTGGAATTTGTTTTTTCTATTTAGTATTATATGTCTGTTTGCTGAATCAAAAGAACAACCTTTTTGGTACAAATTTTTCAATGGGCAATTGAGTCATTCTCTTTAAATTTTTAGAGAAAAAAGGCTGTATTTTAAGCATAATTTAATATATTTTTAACTTGATTTATTGAGGATCATCAAGTGCCTGTCTGTCCACTCTGTAACAAGCCAGTGCCAGTACCTCGAGGACAACAACCAGACATAAAGGTTACTTTTTATCCCATTTCATAAAAAAAAAAATTTTGTTAAATAATTCTTACTCTTTTTTTTATCCCATTTTCTATTTGAAAAGTTAAATACTTGTATGTAACAACACTGTTATACATGTATGTACTTTAGGTGATACATAGAAATGATGTAGAAATGTTCACTAATTCAAAATGCAAGTTAGCTAGTAATGAACATTAATGTTTAGTTTATTAGCTAGTACAGACATTGAAAGTTGTGGCCAATTATTTTGTCATTTACAATAAAATTCAGGGTTTTTTTTAATTTATGTAAACATGTAATTCTGACCTGCCTTCTCCCAACATACTCAATCTGCATCTTCACGTCAAACTCTGCCTCATCTAGTTTTATAATAATTTGTTAAAGATATTATAATATCTGTTTTTAAGGTTGGAGAACACATTGACAGAGATTGCCAATCAGATCCAGCTCTTGCTAAAAGAAAGGTAGTATTGATGTAAATGATACCAGTATACTATGTACAAATTTGTTTACTGTCATTATATATAAGATTTATTGCCTTGACTTTGACAACCAACACTATCGACCAATCTGTCGGTCGACATGTTGGCCAAGAGATCGACTGGGAGTCAGCAGATATATAATATGGCAACTGATATGGCAACTGAGAGTCGGCCAACTTATTGGCCAACATGTCGATCAAGTATCGGCCATGTGTTGACTGATACTTGACCAAGGGGTGCACAAATAACACAACATCCAATTTGAATACAACAAGAACATACTGTACCAAACTGTATATAAATTCAGTGATCAGTTTTGTTAGGGTTATGATATTAATACAATTGTGAATTTATAAATGAAAAATTTATTTATTTTTCTGGTAATCAACACTCTATTATTTCCTTCATAAAAATTAAGAGCCTATTTAAGAACCTACTTAGCCTAAATTGCTGAGAGCGGTAAGTACCCCAAAATACAAGAACCTGTTCTGCCTAGTGTACTTCGCAGCCGTTTTTATGCTTGTCACACAACACTTTTCTGCCTCTGGGGAAGAGCGTTGCGTGACGAGCCTAAAAACCGCTCCGAAGGAGACTATATTTTGCAAGACTTAAAAAAAAGTCAATGTACTGTATCGTTGTTGCAAAGTGAAATCGCTGTTAATACTTTATAATGTTTTGAAATTCTCCCTTTCAAATACAGTT